CCCCCTACCCCCTCAATTAAATGTAAGATTTCTTTGTAGATGTTTTAATAGTCATTAAGGCAGATGTGGTGGCTCACACCTATAATCACAGCTACTCAGGAGATAGAGATTGGGAGAACTATGGTTTGAGGACAGCCTAGGCAAAAAGTTAGCAAGACCCCATCTCAACAAAACAAAACAGTCATAGCAGCATGCTTTGTGATGCCACCGTGTGATTTGTGAGAGGTATAAGTAGGATAATTGGAGTCCAAGGTCCAGCCTGAGCAAAAGCAAGACCCTGCCAGAAGAATGAACTAAAGCAAAAAGTGCTGGGAGCATGGCTCAAGTGATAGAATGCTTGCCTAGCACATGCAAGACCATAGGTTCAAACCCCAAGACTGTCAAAAAAAATGCTAATAATAGTAATTATTTAGTCTCGTAGTTTAGTTTTTCTGATTTAACAGATTAATTTTTTCTTTTAAACAGGTTGAATCAAGAGATTCTTTGAATAGCATAGCCCTGAAATTTGATACAACGCCCAACGAACTTGTTCAATTAAATAAGTTATTCTCCCGAGCAGTTGTCACTGGACAGGTATTGGTATTTAAATGTGTAGATGTTCAGAATCATTAAGTAGAAAGCATTTATTGCCCATAGTTAATAATGTAGAAAATTTGACAAGAACAATTTTTTGCATGTTTTGAACAATACTATATTGGCCCTATACATGTCATTTGTGTATGTGTGAGTTTCCTCATGTCTTTTCAAGTATAATTTAAAAGAACTTTAAAAAATATTGAAAGCAGTATGTATAATTGATAAAACATTTCAATGCTTTTTTTATTGTCATTATTGTTTTATTGGGGGTACCTTGTGACATTTACAAAAGTGCTTGCGATATATCTTGAATTCATCCTTCCATCATTCTCCTTTATCCCCTTTCCCCTCATTCTTAGAATAGTTTCAACAGGTTTCATTTTCCCATTTTCATACATGAAAACATAATATTTCCACCATATTCACCCTACTAAAGATAAGTTGTTCTTCCATCTCAAAACTTCTTCTAGAAGTAGTCATTTACCAGGTAACATCTACTTTCAGAAATATTCTACCCTATTTTGGTGGTTTGAGGGTTTTTTGTTTTAGAGTTAACTTTGATTTTTGGAAAATGTCCTATTTAAGCACAGCAATTATGTCAGACTTTTTATTTCTTGTCTTTTTTGGGGGGATGTGGGGACAGATTTGAGACAAGGTTTTACCATGTAGCTCATGCTGGCTTTGAACTCATCATATAGCCCAGGCTGACTTAAAACTTGTGATCCTCTGCCTCAGCCTCCCAAGTGCTGAGATTACACTCCAACTCCCAGTCTCAGCCTTTTCCATGAGTATAGTGATGCATTTTATTGTTAGATCATAATTTAAACAAAATAAGCATTGGTTTGTTTTTAATCTCTTGCTAATGTTAACAGTACTATAGTAAACACTTGTGCACCTCTGTTTTTATAAATATGCAGATGTTTCAGTGGGGTAAATTCCTAAAAGTAAAATTGTTGGGTCAAAGAGATTTATGTACAATTTTATTTTGTTAATTATTGCTAAATTGTAAGATGAACACCTATACTATTTGAGAATTGTTTCCCACCATTTCTCAATGATGTGCTTTATCAAATGTGTCTAAACTGATTTTAAATATCCTTTATTTTTACTTTGTTACAACTGTTATGGTAATAAATATTCTTATAATTGAAAATTTTGGGTTTTTTGCATTTATTGCCAAAGGTAATTGTTAACCGTGCTTATTTATAGAACATAATCTGGTTGTTAATATTTCAGTTTCTCTTAATCTTTATGTGAATGATTTCTGGTAGGTTTTATATGTTCCTGATCCTGAATATGTCTCCAGTGTTGAGAGCTCTCCATCTCTAAGCCCTGTAAGTCCTCTGTCACCAACGTCATCCGAGGCTGAATTTGATAAGACCACTGTAAGTATCTCTGCATTTCAAAAATGGCTATCAAGCAGACTCACAGTGTAGACATTGATCACTGTGTATATGTTTCCCTTCTACTTAATTACAGGTAGAATGAAATTATACCTTTTTATTTTGTTACTTAATTTTGTCCCAGGTTTTAAAATGAAGCGTTCTCATTAAGTTAAACAGCTTAAGTTGATTGACCTTTGGTGATGGTGGTTCAAAGATACTCATCAACTTGTCCTATAAATACCATATATAATTTAACTTATGAAATAATTTTACCTAACAAATATGAGATTATCATGATTATATATACATGCATATATATATATTTTTTTTTCTTGGCAGTACTAGGATTTGAACTTGGCTTGCTAGATAGGCATGGACGCTCTACCACTTAACCCATTCTTCTAGCACTTCTTTTTTTTATTATAGATTTTTAAAATAGGATACATTCATTATTGGGGCAGGGTTCGCAGTGACAATTCCAGTTAGTCTTACATTGCACATTATTTACATTGCCCCCACCATCGTCCCTCCTCTTTTTACCCCACTTAAAGCAATTGCAAGAGGTTTTTTAGTTCTGTTTCATATAGGTATGTGAAGTCCATCAACCTTAATCTCCTTCCTTCACCCTCTTCCCTCCCACTAGTATCCTCCCCCCATCCTCTGGCACACATTGCGCCTATTTTATAGTCCTAGTTTTTATTATTAATATTTGAGTTGATGTTCAAAGGGGTGTCTCAGTGCATGCTCACTGTGGGTGTTCTTTCATTTGGTCTGTTCAATCCCTATGAATACTCTCCCTTACCCCTTTACCTCCCATCCCCCAGTTTTCAACAGCTTTCAATACATATCCTTATATCCTCGACCTCCATATCTTATGGTATGTGATATTTCTAATACTCTTATCATTCTCTTTTCCATTCTCTCTTTCCCCGAGTTGCATAGAGTAGTTCCACTATTAACAGACTTGTTCTGCAACTGAGTTTGTATGTGATCATGCTTGGTTTTGGTTTTGGTTTTTGTTTTTTGGCTGGGCTGGCCTCAAATCATGACCCTCCAGATTTCCACCTCCAGAATAGCTAGGATTACAAGTGTGAGCCACTGGTACCCAGCTATTCAACATTTCTAAGGAACAGATATCCTAAATAAGTTAAATTTTTTAAATGAATTTCAGGGAACCATGCTTTATTTAATAGTTTTGATTAAACTTTCCTTAAAAGGAATTTCATGATTCTCTTCCCTTTTATACATTGGTGTTAATTTTTCTGTTTTCATAATGACTGTCATTTATATGTGAAAGACTATTTCTCCATTAAGTGGCTAGACTCCTGTGAGAAATCCTTCCCCATTTCTTTTTTGAATTTATAGGACATCTTTTGTCTTTTCTGCCCTAATTTGTACTTAGTTTAGGATATCAAATGGCAAACTGAAAACAAAACACAAATTTTAAATTAATTTGCCCATAATTACTCATTTCTAAGCTTTAGTATTCCACTTTGTTCCACTTTTTTTGTGGAGTAAATTAAGTATTGTTATTGCTGTTTTCCTCCTTTTCCAGGGACTTTTTTGCTGTGTGCATGTATGTGTGTGAGAGAGATTAGGGTCTTTTTCAAGTGTTTAGTTCTTGGATATCTTATTTGTATAAGTAAGGAAATACAATTTAGAATAGTCACATGAAAGGAATATACAGGTTGACTATCCTTTATCTGAATTGCTTGGGAGAATTCTTTCAGATTTCCGAATTTTTTTTTCATATTTTGGATTATTTGGATATATATATAGTGAGCTGTCTTGGAGCTAGACCCCATGCCTAGACACAAAATTCATTTATGATTTTTTATACCTTATAAACAGAACATGAGTTATTTTATATGGTATTTTTAGTGTGCCTAAGTTTTGACTGCAATTCAATACCTGAATTCACCCCTTGTGGCCTCATGGTAGTACTCAAACAGTTTTGAATTTGAGTGCATTTCAGGTTTCAGATTAGGGATACTGAGTCTGCTTTACATGTGTAATCATTATTGATAAGAATAGAAGTCTGATTTTAATTATAGATATTGCTGATCAGATGGCACAGAATTATTACAGGATTTTGAGCCTCAGCACTGAGCTGTTGGGTTCCATACATCAGGTCCAGTCACTAGCCACAATATGACAAATGGTAGAGACAAATAATTGTGGAGGTCAGTGAAAAGATATTTAATTGACATGCAATGGGCACATCACAGAAGAGGCAATATAGTATTTCAGTTTATCTTCCTGAAACATATTCGTTTTGGGTTTAAATAGGGTAAGAATTGGGGGCAGGAGGAGAGGGATGCATAATTTTTAAAGTCCCAGGCACAAGTGTGTTCTGATGGTCATAGATAGAGACCACAGATATCCAGCCACAGCTGGGACCTTGTTACTGTAAGAGTCAATGCTGTCTGGCAGTGGGCAGCTTTATGTCCTGTCACAGAATGTTGAGCCATCATTCGAGACTAGGATGCCTACTGTTTTATCCTGCTTTCAGTGAATTCTGGGCCCAAGTAGGGAGTCAGTGCTTTTTAGCAAAAACATTTAAATTCCTCCCTTTTTGTAAGTCCCCCAGGACCTCAGAGAGATAATGCACAAGGGGACATGATAAAGGAAAACTGCGGTCTTAGGTTAATTTAGCTCAGATTTTCAACTGTAAACCTGAGTTATATAAACTGTTACATCTCTCCTGAGTAAAATCCTGTCCCTAAGCTTTAAACCAAACTCTGTCTACCACCTGATATTCTCGGAAGACCTGAGGTCAAAGAGACGATCAAAGGAGAAAAAGGCCAGGTTTCCTTCATGTGAAATGTTTCCAATTTACTTTTGCCATGTTGGTGGAAAAATGGAGCAAACAAAAGCTCTGTGAATGATCTCTTACCCCACAGTGACTCAGCTACTGTCAAATAAGCCCCAAAAGTATCCTTTAATGTTACTAGTCCTATGAATAAGTTCTTTATACTTGTTATAGATCAAAGGAAGAGAGAAGAGATGGAAGAATTCTTGAACTTGCTTTTACCTAGAGTTATAGTCATCACCTTTCTTCAAAAAGATTATGTGAAATAGTTAGAAATAACTCTTTTGAATGGTGATTTTGTAAATTTTAGCCTTACCTTTTTTACCTCGAATTTTGTATTCATTATTAGGCTCCAAGATAGTATTTCAGTATAACTACAGGTTTGTCTTCTATACAACGTTTCTTACAGTATGTATTCTTAAAAACAAGAATATTATGTTTTTTTAGTCATATTTATATTGCTATTATATTAAATGATGCCTCTTAGTGTTGTCACTACATGTTTATCTCACAAATTATAAGAATTTCTGTAACTACTGATGGTTTCTTGAATGTCTACCTTTGTGTAATACCTTACCTATGAGCCTAAAATATTACATTTCTGGCTTTGTTAATATATACAATTTCCATGATTTTTAAAAATAATTTGTTTTCACAGAAAAATATCTTTGAGAATTTACAGGGTCAATCTTTCCCCTTTATTTCACATGTGGAGGGAAAAGCGTAGAAGGAGATAGAACCAAATTAAGAATAAAAATGATGACAAATGCTAAAATTTATTATGTGTATAAAACTATTATCATTTATTGTTAGCCTCAGGTTTATGAGATAAACATCTGTCCTTGGTGTCTGTATTCACGCTTTTACATCAACTCCACACTCCTCCGTGTCTTCCTTTGGGCAGTGAACTAACTTCATTGCTCTTTTGCTTCTCTTGATTTTGGCATTTCTGGAGCATTCGCAAAACATGAGAGAAGAAAAGAGAGAATAAGATGGGAGCATATTTATTCTCCTAGCTTTCCCCTTATTAGGTCAATGTAAAAATGGTCATATTTTTTAACATCTTGTCTCTTGTCAGAGTACCCTTTGCTCAGAGCCTTTTCTATCACTATATTTAAGCATCCATTTCTCCTCTTTAAGATCAGGGGTCATAATGAAGCCTTTGTGATTTGAGCTGGATTTTTGTATATCCCACATCCCTTGGTAAGTCATTCCATTCAACCCTTTTAAAATTACTTAGGTTGATATGCTGTTTTGTTTTTAGTACCTGAGAGTGCACTATTGTATTGTATGTATTTTATAGTGGAGGGAACTGAGGAAGAGAGGCTAAATAATTTGAGTCTAAGGTCACTCAGAAAGCTAGTAGCTGAGCTAGAATTCTAACACAGGCATTCTTGGTCCCGAGTCCATGTTCTATATTAGAACTTTATACTAGAAATTAACAACTCAAACTACTATTGCCCAATAAATAATTTTACTCAAAGTAATATTTAGTTACCATAAAAGGGTATAGTAATACCCTCTTATGTCACGTTGTGCCATTATTAAGTCACATCTTTGTTGTAAATATAGAACTTTCTGCTTTTATTTTGTACTCCTTTGGTTTTTCTCTTTCCTACCATAAGTCAACTTAATATGCAAATACTATTTTAGGCGAAAACTACTATTGTGGTATTTTCAGAATGAAACTCTTTTGGAGGAAAAATAGTTAAGTAATATGGAAAAATGAAATAATTTTGAAATTTTTTGTGTTTGTATTATTCTCCACTAAGAGATGGGATATGCAGATACTCAGATTTTTTAATATAAAACACTCTTCATAGTATAATCAATCTAAAAGATGATAAAAGTAGCATATTTATTAATAGTAATTGGATTGAATACACTTATAGTAAGAAAACATAATATTGAAAAATTATTAAGAGATTCTGGAAAAGACCTGGGAAGTCCTAAAAGAGGAAAAAAATACAAAGTAGCAGTAGTTTTAGGCATCTTAAGTGCTTTTAAAGGGTAGCTGTGATTATAATGCTATAGTTATTATTTTCTATTTGAGAGGGTTCTTAGCTCTTACTCTATTCAGAGCACTTTAGGACTTTATCCTAAAACAGTTGTAATCCCTATTTTTAAAATGGAGAAATTAAGACATTAAGAAATTTATATAATGTCAGTAAGTTAATAAGTGGTAGAG